ACTCTTAAACATAAAGATATAGTCTAATCTAGAGTATACGTTGTGTGGGTGCGAAAAGTGGGTATATTCTCGATCTTTTGGGTGATATTCCCTCCATATATCAACTAATCCTACATCATCCATAAGATTTACCATCCTTTTTCCGATGTTTCGCACATCCCCTTTTCTATTAGAAGAATCCATTTTGCTGTTTAGTATGATATTGAAGTCCCCTCCACATATGAGAGTTCCCTGACTCCTTGTTGTTGCTATTTCTAGAATCTGTTTATACAGGGACCAGTCACTGCCGGGAGGGATATATACATTCAGGAGGCTAGTCATGGTACCATCAATCTTACCTGTTATCAATATATATCTACCCTCTTTATCTTTATATTCTGATATATGCTCATAATTAAGAGTTCCAGATAGCAAAATCGCCACCCCTCTTCGCCTCCCAGAACTGTGAGAAGAATAAAAGACATGTTTAAAACCCATCCTGTTCAATTTAACATGCTCATCATCAGCTAAGTGTGTTTCCTGTAGTAAAACAATTTGGGCTTTATCTCTTTTAAATTTAGTTAAGACTTTCCACCTTTTTACTGGGCTATGTAAGCCATTAATGTTGTTGGACACCAGTTTTATCAGCCTGCTACTCATCTAAATTATAGTCCTTATATTTATTAGGCACAGTTTAATGTGCTCCCCGCTCACCCTCATAAACAAAGAACAAAATAAAAAATAAAAAAAATATGAAAAAGTCAACATCACACACAAACAAAATTCAAACTGAACTCTTAACTTCCAAGGTAGGGGTCTCAAGCTGAGGCCCTGCTTCGCCTCTAAAGGCATCTTCCTCATCTGTTAATGAGGGAGGCCCTCAATGGCTAAGACCCCACTGTAAAAAAACCCCGCAAGAAACCTTTGTTGTTTACATATTATGCACCATAAACCAAATGCACGTCTTAATTAACAGCATCTGAGTGGTTAAACCTTATTTTCCTGAAGGTGTAGGTGATGTTCTCTTAAAGGCTCTGAGTCTTTCTCTGTAGCCGGCTGTGGAGTCCTGCTTCTTGTCTGCTGCACCTCTCCTCGGTCCTCTCTCCACCCTGCTCCAGGACAGCTGCTTCAGTTGTTCCAGGACCGTTTCTGGTGATTTAATGACCTTCACAGCATAGCCTCTACTGGACATGTCCTCGGTAGCTTCCATCACTGTGTTGTAAATCTTCGTTTCATCAGCATACTTCACCCTCAGCCGGGCTGGAAAGAGGGTCTGGAAAGGGATCTGCTTCTCCTTCAGGATCCTGCGCACGTCTGCGTACTCTTTTCGTTTTTTTTAAATCAGAGGGGGGTAGTCATGATCCAAGTTCACTTGTTTACTGTTCCAGGTGAATCCTCTTTTCTGCCATGCCTTGCGAAGCAGGAATTCTTTTGTTTTAAAACTGAGGAATTTCACAACAATAGATCTCGGTGGAGCGTCACTTGGTGGTGGTGGGCCTAGAGAGCGATGTGCCCGTTCAATACTCATGTCGAGCTCGTCTTGGGACAGCTCCAGGCCTTCACGTAGCAGCTTCTCAACAAAGTCACTCATTGTAGGTGCGTCTCGTTCTGCTGTCTCGGGCACGCCATAAATGCGTATGTTCTCTCTTCTTGTGCGGCTCTCCAAGTCCATTAATTTATCCTCCAACTTTATCTGTAGCTTTAACATTTCTGTCACTGCGTCCTCTGTATTTTGAATCCTCTCCTCCGCTTTTTCAATCCGCCCCTCGGCCTCGTCCAGTCTGGCGTTCACCTTTAGGATTTCTTCTTTAATTTCCCCTAACTGCGCATTATTTTCCAAGCGAAAGCTTCTTATTTCCTGTAGTACCGTGTCCAGTTCAGCCATCCCTCTACACCTGGTTGTTTAATTCAAGCCTCAGATTGCGATATCAGTTCTTTACTGCGCAGAGCTGCGATTAGCATTAGCCGCGATGCTAGCGGTACTTTCCGAACTTTAAACTTCTTTTTTTTTAATCCTCTTCGAAGCATCGGTTTTGGTGTATTTCACTCACCCCCTTTCTTATTCACCTCTCCGGACAAGTTTGCGTCGTGTTGATGGGGTTAGGTTTTTTTATTTCTTCGGTTTCCTTAGGAGCTCGTTCACAGTGCGGCCATCGTGATGACGTTCGAACCGGAAGTCGCTATCCAGACTTTTAATGGCTGCTAAGACGGCAGCTAAGGAGACCTCAGTCTCAGTGGCTTGTTTTTTAGCAGGAGGGAGTTTGGTTGGAGTTGGATTCAGTTGCCTCTTGTACCGGAGGCATTTTTTGATGTCTCCATCGGTGTTTCAGCGCTAGCAGCAGCAGCATAGTTATGCATGTTTAGCTTAGCAGCGTTAGCATTCTTCAGACTAGGGAAATCTTTCTCATTAACGGCCGACATCTTTCATAAAACTCTAATTTTTTCTCCTTATTTTAAAGCATGGATATTCGGGTCTACCTTGCAGTTGAAATTATGTGTAAAAGGGTCCGTTTATGTAGCTGGTTGAGGGCTGCACGAATGGAGCTCAGAGTAGCACGTGTGCCCACATCGCCATCTTGCCGGAAGTCACACAAGCATCTTAATACATCACTAAACAAATTTTCAACTTCTTTTCGCGGCGAAAACGAAGTTTAACAAGCGATCAACTGACATGAAAGTCTTTTCACAAAATCTGGACGAACGAAGCGTCACTTTTAAGCCAGAGTGGGCCTGTTAGCTTTGCTTAGCTTCTCAGCTTAGCTGCTATTACCGATTCAAACGCCTTTTGGGACGGCTTAAAAACGGATTTTTCACCGTTAACTTTTCACTATAAAAACGCGACTCTGTCAGTTGCCTTAGTGAATCAGATTAGGACTTTTTTACCGTTTAAAGTGTCATTAAACGGGCCGTTAGCGATTAGTTTCGCTAACCGGAAGTCCACTATAGATTTTACCGTTCGTAGCGGCTTAAAATCTAAACTATTTCACTTAAAATTTTGAAAACTGGATTGTTCAAATCCTTAAACCCTTGGGTTTAAATTAGCTTCACTCATTTGGTTATAAAATGCATGCAACATTTTTATTTTAAATGGAGAAGCAGACGCGGTGTGAGAAGTGACCCCCACATTCAGAATGAGAGGCACACACAGCTTTGAGCAGACAGAAACGCAGAATGAGAGGAACGCAGCTCGGAGCAGAGATCAAAGAATGCAGTTTTAACACAGTTTTATGCTAACACTTCAACAAAACAGCATAGAAAATACTTTTTCTTTGTGCATTGTATAAAAATGCGTCTCTAACGAGCCTAACATGGCAGGCATCAATATATGTAGAGGGATTTGTTGATCAGATATCTATATAATTTATTAGTTATGAGTTAAGCTCATAAGATATGCATTTATTATGCAAATAACCTTGTTATGTGGGCACCACCTATTGGAGAGGAAAATCAGTCTCTAAAACCCTGAAATTAAATGTAAACTGAAACGTGAATTCTTTACCCATGTTTAAAGGCATTAAATCAGTTAATACACACAGATATGTCAAAATAATCACAAATTTAGCTGATTTTTATGTATTTTATTACAAAAATAATGTTCTGATGTATATAGCTGATGAAGATTATTCATAAAAATTAATACACAAATTACTAACAAAATTACCTTGTGTCAAAAGTTACTTGATTATTAAATTCAGTGTAACTTTTTATAAAAGGCAGAAATTTGGACTGGTTTGTTGGGGTGTAGTTAAAATTGTCTAAATTAACTGTGGTGTATCTAAATTAATATTATTGTGAATGTATGATCACCAGAAAGGCATTAAGTTCTCTTGTCCTACCAGAATGAGACGGTCATCTGTTGGAGGGACCACGGTCCGATCACTGGCCCTTTGAAGTCAGTTTTGGATTTACAACTATGCGGCATGATGTTCTGGTTCGGGTCTTAGTTAATGCCAAGTTCTGCTTCTGGTTCTCTTCCTTCCAGGATATCTCACTAGAAGGAAGATTCTTCTCTGAAGTTTGCTTGAAGTTTGTTCATGTAGGAAGAGTGGTGAAGTGTTATCTAGAAGTGGTGTAGAAGAACTGAGTAGTGAAATGTCTGTCTGGGTGTTACAGATTGACTTAGGACCTCCCACCGGATGAGATATGGTTCATAAACTGTCATATTTTAAATAAAATAACAGTCCATTTTCGCTGTCTGCCTTTTTTTAAAGCCACACTTGTTTTAAAAGGAGAAAAATAAACATAATTATCTTAAAGAGAGGTTACTTTAAACAGACATTTTCTATGACACACATTCAGTTCTGAAACTGTGGAAAAACATGCAATGTTCCTCAAAAAGGTGTCGCTGTTCATCTCCTGAAAGGGAATGTCCTGAAACAAATGATTCTTTTAAAACTGTTATCTCCATGGAGAAATCCTGGGAGTAAACTCCTCGGCAGGTGTCCCACTTCCAGGTCAAAAATGAACCACAGCTCTCATTAAGACGATCTGTCCGTTTTGTGGGAAATGAGGTGATATTGGCAGTGAAGTTAACACAATGACAGTTTTTCATTACATTAGATTAGTGGCCAATAAGGAGTTTGTAAGCTGTTTAACACCTGTAAAATAAAGTCAGTTCGTTCCCAAAGGAATAAATGCATCTTATTTTAACAGTTTAAAACACAAACACATGAATGATGTTTGCTTTGAGATGAGGTGAAGTCTTGTTCAAAGGTGGTGTTCCCCTACATAGGTGATGTTTATATTATTCTCTGCTTTTTGTTTTGTGCAATGTTTCTTGTTCTTACCTGCCTTAGGACAATGGATGAAAATTAGCTGTTGTGCTAACTCCAGCATATTTACATTGATACTTACTGCTGACATGTTGATTAATATGCATTTTCCTAATTGAAATAAATAAAATTAAATAAATGAATTCAAGACAGACTTCTGGATAATAAACACAAAGATCAGCCAGGGGTTGGTCACTCAAATAATTAAATCTTTATTCAACATGGTCTATTTCGTCCTTCTTGTTCCAGGTTTGTCAACATTCTGGTGTACTACAGCCTGTCTCTCAACATTTCTGACTTTGGGATGAACATCTACCTGACCCAAATGATTTTTGGTTTGGTGGAGATGCCTGCACGCACCATCACCCTTTTCACCCTCAACCGCTCCCGCAAGATTTCTCAGCTGGCATTTTTAACAGTTGGAGGATCTGCCTGCCTGCTGACGACCTTCATCCCAAGCAGTACGTACACTCGTGTTTCTGTGCAAACAGGAAACAGAAAAAGTCAAATGGTTACACCATCTAGTTGTTTCCCATTGCGGAGCAAGAAGAGTAAATGGAAATACCCTCCAGCTGTCCATGCAGACTGTTAGCATGAAAACGTGAAGAACATAAGGTATTGACTTTCTGTGTGCGGCTGCATAAGCAAGGTTCACTTCAAAAATTGCACTGACACATCAAAATCCAAGATGGCTGCTACCATACAATATATGCATATAAGTAAACCGGCCTCACCTATTTAAGTAAATTATGCTTTTCGAGTTTTTACATTGTTATCCAAAAAAGTTCAATCTGGTCCTCTGGACATTCAAAAAAACGAAACAAAGCAAAACAACAAAAAAATGTAGAAACGTTTTGTCTCTCATCCGAGAGACTTCCTCAGTCTGAGGTGCTGTATTCAGCTCAGTCTCTTAAATAGCACCTTCTCAGAGTGGATAAACCAGTTTGCTGCTGACAACCAAAACCAGCTGATCACATGCTCAAGAAGGACCATCAGCCTAACAATGGATCATTAGCACACTGATGGCTGTTTACTATTCACAGAGGGCTGAGTGATACTAGCAATCACAGCATTGTAAGAGGGGGACAATTGAACACGTAGGCCTCCACCCCTGTTTAACGATGGACGGTTTCTTTTCACAAAGATGGCCTCCTTTACTCCTCTCTCAAACCATCGTTCCTCTCTATCCAGGATGTGCACATCTTCATCCCTGAAAGAGTGACCACTGGCCTGGAGATGAGTGTAGACCGCAGAGTCCTGGCCGGATGATGTTGATCTTCTGTGCTGGGCCATCCTTTTGGCCAGTGGCTGTTTTGTTTCCCCGATGTAAAACTGATCACAGCCCTCCTGACACTGAACAACATACACAATATTACTCTGTTTGTGCCGGGGGACTGGATCTTTGGGATGAACCAGTCTTTAATGTATTTTGGGGTTTAAAAGCCACTGGGACGTTATGTTTAGAAAATAAACGTCTCAGTTTCTCTGATACTCCCTCAACATATGGAATGACCACTGGTCTGGGTCTGGGTTCCTCCTTTTCACCTGTTGGCTGACTGGAGTCCTGTTTGGGTTTCTTCTCTGCTTTTAGGAAGGCCACGTTAGTATATCCACATTGCTCTAGAGCCTGTCTTGTGTGGGATTTCTCCTTCTGCCTGGCTCCTGAGCTAGTGGGGATGCTGTCTGCTCTGTGATACAGAGTCCTGATGACTCCTAACTTGTGCTCCAAAGGGTGATGTGAGTCAAACTGCAAATACTGGTCTGTGTGGGTGGGTTTGTGGTACACCTCAGTTTGCAAATGTCCTCTATCAGAGACTGAGACCTCACAGTCCAAGAAAGCCAACTTGCCATTTTTTTCATCTTCTCGTGTGAACTTGATGTATTTATCCACAGAGTTGATGTGGTCAGTAAAAT